GAATGAATGGGGGAATGGAGAAAAAAAATTAAATAAATTCTGCAGTTGACATTCCAGGCTAATGCAAGATAGGAGATGAAGATATTGAGTAAAGAAGTCTCTATAATATTCTGCAGCGAAGTATGATATCTCTTTGATGAAAAATCGCAGTTTGTTTCCATTCCTCAATTCGTTGCGTGTACATTCTTGCCACTCAAGATGGCTGACAGGAAGCTCCGCCTACCCCATTGATTACATCCGTGCAACAGCTTTATTGAAGTCGGAATCAGCTCAAACTTGCTACACAGCATAAGGACATCAATATGTATCAGAAAATGTAATAAAAATTTGGGGTGATTTCGGAGCCATTTTTAAAAAAAAACCTTAGACTATAGCCTTGGGTATTTTTCAGATTTTGGCTCATTTTTTAAAATGGCCGTAACTCGAAAAATTGAAGTCGGAATCAGCTCAAACTTTCTACACAGCATAAGTACATCAATATGTATCAGAAAATGTAATAAAAATTTGGGGTGATTTCGGAGCCATTTTTTGGAAAAAACCATGGACTATAGCCTTGGGTATTTTTCAGATTTTGGCTCATTTTTTAAAATGGTCGTAACTTGAAAAATTTAAGTCGGAATCAACTCAAACTTTTTACACAGCATAAGGGCATCAATATGTATCAGAAAGTTAAAAAATTTGGTGTGGTCATTATTACTAAAATTATTGTCATACTTAATTATTGTTATTACAATTATTAATATTTGTAGCACAGTGGGCGTGGCATCATATCAATGGCTAACAGTGGTCACAGTGACACCAATGGATCTCAATTCTTCATTACTTATGCCAAACAACCCAGTCTTGATATGAAATACACCATATTTGGAAAGTAAGCAAGCAGACACTTTATGAATCAAAAGGTGGTGCATTAGTTATTGTGTCATTTCTCATTGGTAGAGTAATAGATGGAATGGATACTCTTGATGATTTAGAAAAGGTACCAGTTAATGATAAGAATTATAGACCAATTCAAGATATTTACTTGAGAAGAGTAACAATCCATGCTAACCCCATTGCTGACTAACTAACAGGTTTAATACCATTCAGTGTAAAAATTGGTTCATTTGCTCTTGCAATAGCAGCAGTAATGTTTATTTTATTAATTAACCTGGTTCAGTTGGATTGGTTCAGGCAGGAGGGTGTGTTTTTCTGTGGAATCGACCAGTAGCAGCTTTGTGTATCTGCACTGCTTAAGTTTAAATCATCTTTGATGTATTTGAAGTTTGTTCATATTTGCAAGTCATATTCGGACATCATAATTTGAAAGTCATATTTAAAAATCATTTGAAAATTGTATTTTGAAATCTCTTTTGCTGTGGATCATCTTCATCCTGTGGATCATCTATTTCCTCTACAAGTATATAATTAATATCATTAATGGATTGTATTATCAATGGCACCTCCTGTTGGTCTCTCTCTTCTTGGAGTACAGGCCTGCTCTCTCTCTTCACTAGGTCCTGCAGTCTGAGGGTGAGAAACCAATCTGAAATTGGAGCCTGGAACCATACATTAAAATGGCCAAAAGACATTGGCAAGATTGGTCATGTCAGCAGCCTGAACAGTTCAGTATTTGGCATTGTCCTTCAGTTTTGTTTGGCCTTTCTGCATAGAAACTCTAGCCCCCCCTGCCCCCCACATTTTCAAATAATTTCATCTTGACCTATAATAACTATTACTTTAACAAGTTGCAGCTTCTGTCGTTTCTGTTGCTGACAGTTTTGAACATGTTTTAAGTTCCTGGGCTGAAGGGTAGGAGGATTACTTACACTCTCCTTATATACTTCAGCAGGTGAAGCATCTTTAGTTGCAATGCTATGCAATACAGATGGACGTGTCCTGGTGTAAATACAGTTCCCCTTTGAGTTCCCATGACTGAAATTGCCACTCCTTCATTTCCAAGGTAGTGCAAGAGCAGTTTTGGAATGGCCTTCGTATCATTCTGATGCTACCTGCATCCATCTCTTCTTCAATCTTCTAAATAAATAAATATAATTATGATCAATAGTGCAATTATAGAATATGTATGACTAAAAGCTTTTAATTATTTAATAAATCATTTCCAGTGTTTAAAATTTACAATTTGACTTGCATTTATACATAAATGGCTGGGCATATCATACCTTTACGTTCCTCTTCAACATTAAATGAATAAATGTCTCCTCCTTTTGGTTGGATACAGGGATAGTCTGGCGAGAATTCTTCATTCCTGTCAAAGAAACTTAACACCTAGCCACCTACATGAAAAAGTTTTAAAAATTTAAGTATATAAAAACACAGCACCTCATCCAGAGTTAGGTTTCTATTAATACTGCTAATTGGTGAAGCCATTAGCACTGGAAAGACAGGAGACGACTGAATCCAGTCATGTTTTACCAAGTTACCTCTGTCGTTTATTGTGTTGACAGTATTGTACCTGCTTCAAGTTCCTTAAATAGGAAATAATGCGAGCTG